CTGCCTTTGGTCAAGGAGCTTGCAGATTGCAAATGTCTAACAAGTCTCTTGCAGGAAAACCCCCTCTCCTTGCCTCTCCCCATCTAGCCCACCACCTGGGGGCAGGAGATGATAATGTCTAGCAACCTTAAGATCTAAGACTCATGTGACTACAATCAACATCAAAGACCCGCAGCCCTGGACACTCCTTTGGGCCCAAATCCTCCTACCCCAAAGCCCTTAAGTATACCCACTCCGTGGCCCTTCGAGGCCACACTTGCCTCTGAGTGCCCGCCCCCTTTCCAATCTGTGAAAGGTGAACAATAAACTTCTTTCTACTTTCTTACTTGGTTGCAATCTTGCATTATTCCCGCGGCCCCTAGCACGGGCTCCGGCCCACCTGGCCTCGGCTGACCCTTTTTTTTTTTTGAGTTGGAGTCTCACTCTGTCGCCCAGACTGGAGTGCCGTGGCCGCTCCCGGCCACCGCAGCCTCGACCTGCTGGGCTCCGGCGATCCTTCCGCCTCAGCCTTCCGAGTAGCTTAACCGGAATTACAGGCATGCGCTACCACGTCCGGCTGATTTCTTGACTTATTGTAGAGATGCGGTCTCGCTGCCCGGGCGGTCTCGAACCCGCGGGCTCAGGCAATCCACTCATCTCAGCCTCCCAAAGGCGCGGGATTGCAGACTGAGCCACCGAGCCCGGCCACGGCTGACCCTTTTAACACTCACCTCCCAGGTGAGGACAGAGGGCATCTCAGAAGAGCAGGGCCCTGGGCGCGGCAGGAACCTCCCGGAGACTCCCTGGCTCTGGGCGGTGTCTCCAGTTCCCGAAATCTCGGGGCTGATCTTGGATTGGCGCGATCCGCCGGGGCGGGACGGAAGGCGGAGTCCGCAGGGCGCTTAAAACAGAGAGTAAAGAGGTGGGCGACCCAGGTTCGGCTGGAGGCAGCGGCGCGGGGTGAGCGGGGAGCAGGGGTGACAAGGGGCGCGGGTGACCCGGGAGCTCGGGGGACGCCGGCCTGGGTGAGCCCGGCAGGTTCGGGTTCCGGGGCCGTTGCGGGCCGTGCCGGGAGGGTCCTCGGAGCAGAGTGGGCATCGCGGGACGGGGCTCCGGGGTGGAGGATGCCATCCGCCCCTCGCCTGGGTGGAGTTAGGAGGTGGGTGTGATCGGCCCCGCTTTACCTTCCCCGGCTGGGGATGCGGACCCGGATTCTGAGCGCCCCGCCCTCAGGGCCTCCTCGAGAGCGCTCTCCCAGGCCCGGGCCCTTCCCGGATCCGGGAACCGGTCGTGGCCCACGGTGGAAACGAAAAGATTTTTCTTTCACCGAAGAACTGGGATCGGCGCAGGGAACAAATATCTCCCGGCAGCGTCTGGGGGCGGAGATAGTTGGTGGCCGGGGGGCGAAGGGACAGGGACAGAGGATTGTAGTGGAAAATGGGGGACACTCCGTGGCTGGGCTGACACACCAAAAATCAGGAGCCCTGAAATACTCACGCGGCGACTAGAAGATCTCTTGCGTGGAGCGTTGGGACGGGTTCCCCAGGGTCCTGCCTGGCTTCCAGGCCTCACCCACGCCCCACTCCGGGCTCCACCCCCAACCCCACCCCAGTTCCTCTTCTGTGCACCTCAGCGGTTGGTGTTTCTTGAAGTCACAACCGGACCCTCCCCTGCGGTGACCCCCGTGGCTCCTGGTGTCACCGGAACGCTGGAAACTGGACTCGAGCGCACAGCCAGGGCCCCTCGCCCTCCACTCTGGCCGCACTGGTTTCCTTGTCATTTCTGGGCACAGCCAAGCCCCCGCGGGCCTCAGGCCTGTCTTTGCGCTGCCTCTTCCTTCCCGGAGAGCTTCCGCCCTCACACCTGCATGGGCAGGTCCCTCCTTTATCCTGTACTTCACGGGTGCTAGACATCAGGGCAGCCCACCACCAGGTCTAGCTGATTTTTTTTTTTCCTGGTCTTTTATAGAGATGAGGTCTCACGTTGTTGCCTAGGTTGGCCTCAAATTCCTGGCCTCAAGCCATCCTCCTGCCTTAACCTCCCAAGGTGCTGGAATTACAGGCGTGAGCCAAAGTGCCTGGCCTGCTCATGTTTTCTTTACTATTAAATATGTCTTGCTAGTTGGAAGCTAACAGACGTGCTCTTGCTGTCAATTAAAAATTTAGAATCTTGGGCAGACTGTGCTCTTTTTCTTCAGTTTGCTGATTTGAACCGGAATATCTAAAACACTCGACCTGGGGTTTACTCATTTTCAGTCAGATACTAGTTGGATGCATGCTCTCTATGAAGCCCTGTGGAGGCTGAGATAGGGGCTCACCCCACAGGGGACTTGCTGGAAGGAATGAAGTCCCAGCTGAAGTACTTTTGGGGCATTAGTGAGATGGACAAATGTCATTTTTTAAGGACTATGATGGAGATTTCTCTTTCTTTCTTTCCTTCTTTCTTTCTCTCTTTCTTTCTTTCTTTTTTGAGTCAGAGCCTCACTCTGTCTCCTAGGCTGGTGTGCAGTGGCATGCTCATGGCCACCGCAACCTCAAACCACTGGTTCAGACGATCCTTCCGCCTCAACCTTCCAAGTAGTAGCTGGAACTGCAGGTGTGCACCACCACACCTGGCTAATTTTTTGATTTATTGTAGAGATGAGGTCTCCAACACATGGGCTCAGGCAATACTCTTACCCTGGCCTCCCAAGGTGATTATAGGTGTGAGTCACCATGCCTGGCCTGAGATTTCTTTTTTTAGGAGAATGAATAAGACATGACTCCCCAAAGAGCTAATTAGTTAAAGAGCAGTCAGGCCTGTGCTGAGGGTGGGGCATGGTGGAGAGCAGTCTCTGCCCATTGCTAGCTGCCCAGCAGCATCCAGGAAAGCTGGGTTGACCCTACAGTTGAGTGGAAACTGCTGGGTAGACAGAGGATGCTGATGTCACACTTTGAGTTTAAAGAGAAGCAGGTGAGAAGTCATGGAGGGGGACCTGGAGATTCTTTGGTTTTCATTCATTATTGAGCCCTATTATATGCCAGGTCTCTTCCCTCTTGTAATTCATGATCTATTTTGGAAAGTGGTTGGTTAAATAAGCAATTTTAATCTTTTGTTTTTAATTTTAAATTTTTTTGTTTGTTTTTTTGTGGGTTTTTTTTTTTTGGTAGAGGTAGGCTCCTGCTGTATTTTCCAGGCTCGTCTCAGAATCCTGACCTCAAGCGAACCTCCTGTCTTAGCCTTTCAAAGCACTTGGACTACAGGTATGAGCCACCATGGCCAGCTAATAAACCTTTGTAATAAAGGGGACAAAGCCATGAAAGAGTGTCTGGGGCTTTGAACTGATGTCTGTGGGAATTTGGAACTGACCAGGCAAAGGCAGCAGATAGGGCAGAGGGAGAGCATTTCGGGAGGGAGCAGGTTGGAGAGGCTGTGGGGAGTTCAGAGAAGAGTCCCTGGTGGAGGCTGGCTTTGAGGAGAACTGTGGTGTAGGTGGAATTTAAAGGCTCATCCTGTAGGTGATCACCAGGGAGGTGAGGGTGGAGAGTAAGTCTAAGGACCCCTGGACACAGCATTCTTTAGAAGAAAGGAGGTGAAGGAGTTACAGCCGAACTGCAAGAAAGGAGAATCGCCAGCACACTGGGTTCAAATTTTGAGTCCTTTAATAGTGTACGGTCAAGAGTAGGCTTGTGCCAAGGAAGCTCTCGACAGTGAGTGGAATCAGCAAGAAGCTTATAAAGGCAAAATCCACAAGTGGGCTATATAGCAGGGAGTGAGGGTACAAGGAGCTAAAAACAAAAGGAACAATCTCTTGGATTTCAGTTAACAAGGCATACAATCACATGGAACTTGTGGCAGGGAGTTTTCAAACGGTCAGCATGAACAGCTCGGGAACAAAGCTGTGGGTGTGTGGTCATGGAAACGTTACAACAATCACATATACACACTGGGGAGGGGTCATTTTTAGGTCAGGCAGACAGCTAAGATGGAGGATTTTTAACAAAATGGAGTTACTTATGTCAAGCATGCTATTGCAATTATTTTACATATTTCAATAGCTATTTCAAAGGAACGTCAGGAAAGGAGTTAGAAGGGCAGTAGCTTGTGAGAACAGAAGGTACCCAGAGGGCTGGCTGTCCCAGAAGGCCACACTAAGAAAGGGGAGGAGCAGCCCTGTCAAATGCTGCTCGTTGACCACAAGGCAAGGACTGAGGACTGGAGACATTTTGGTGGTTCCTCAAAAGTTTTAACATAGAATTATCATGGAATTCAGCCCCATTTCTAGGTATATACCCCAAATATTTGAAAGTAGGGACTTATTAATATTTTTTGAGTCAATATCTCACTCTGTTGCCTAGGCTAGAGTACAGTGGCATGATCACCACTCACTACAGCCTTCACCTCCTGCAGATGATCCTTCCTTCTCAACCTTCTGAGTAGCTGAAACTATAGGCGTGCACCACCATTCTTGAGTAATTTAAAAAAAATTTTTTTTTTTTGCCAGCCTGGGCAACTTGCTGAGACCTCGTCTCTACAATAAATCAAAAAATTAGTTGGGCACGATGGTGCACATGTAGTAGTTCCAGCTACTTGGAAGACTGGGGCAGAAGGATCACCTGAACCCAGAAGGTGGAGGCTGCAGTGACTGTGAGTGTGCTACTGCACTCCAGTGTGGGTGTCAGACAGAGATTCTGACTCAAAAAAAGTTTGTTGTTTCTTTTTTTGGTGTAGAGGAGGTATCGCTATGTTCCTTAGACTGGTCTCAGACTCCTGGGCTCAAGTGAGTCTCCCTCTTTGGCTCCCTTAACTGATTGGATTACAGATGAGAGCCACTTTGCCCAGCTGAGCATGGAGAATATGTATACACCACTGTTTACTGGAGCATAATATGTATACACAGATATGTATACACCACTGTTTATTGGAGCATAATATGTATACACAGATATGTATACACCACTGTTTATTGGAGCACTATTCACAATAGTAATTCAATCATCCAAAAATTAATTTCTGCAAAACTCAGAGGGCTGAATTTTGCGATGTCAAGTGGAATCTGTGTTCATTCAGGTAAATCCTTCATGACTTCATAAGCTTCACTTATCATATATCTTCTCAACCTGTCATTAAGCTGTGATCCAGGATACAACTTTATGCTAATGTCTGTTGCCCTGTTTTTTTGTTTGTTTCATTTGTTTTTTTTCATTTTGGAGGGTCAGAGTCTCGCTGTATCATCCTGGCTGGAATACAGTGGCTAGATCACAGCTCACCGCAGCCTTGACCTGGACTTGGGTTGTCCTTCAATCTCAGCCTCCCGAGTGGCTGGGACTACAGGCATGCACCACCACACCCAGCTAATTTTTTTGATTTTTGGTAGAGATGATGTCTCACTATGTTGTCCAAGCTGGTTGGTCTTGAACTTCTGGGCTTAAACAATCCTCCCATCTCGGATTCCCAAAGGGTCAAGAATACAGGCATGAGTTATCATTCCTGGTCGTCTTTCTCATTAAACTGTGATCCAGGATTCAACTCTACACTAATATCTGTTGCCCTGTTTTGTTTTGTTGTTTTTTTTTTGAGTTGGAGTCTCACTCTGTCGCCCAGACTGGAGTGCAGTGGCCGCTACCGGCCACCGCAGCCTCGACCCGCTGGGCTCCGGCGATCCTTCCACCTCAGCCTTCCTAGTAGCCAGAATTACAGGCAGGTGCTACCACGCCCGGCTGATTTTTTGATTTATTGTAGAGATGAGGTCTCACTGCCCAGGCGGGTCTCGAACCCGCGGGCTCAGGCAATCCACTCACCTCAGTCTCCCAAAGGCGCGGGATTACAGGCTGAGCCACCGAGCCCAGCTGCCCTGTTTTTTGAGATTTAGAGAGGGTACAGCAAAGTGTCCCCACACAACAAGGTGGTATTATAGTACTTTGCAAGGAAAACCAGGAATATGGACTATTTTGTTTTCCCTTAAGAAACCATAAAAGGAAAATGGGTGATTTCTTTCCTAGTTTAAAACTTATCCTTGTGGCTTTTCTTCTGATAGAGGGAGGTACATTTGTCATGATTTTCCTCAAGGTAATATAATAGGGGGATACGTAACATCTAAGTTGTCCTTAAAATTGCTCATTTAGAGATTGAATTAGAAAAATAAAAGAATACATTTTTGTTGTCATTTACACTAGGTAAGATTGTTTTTCTTTGTTGGCAGTTAGTCCTCAGTCACTGATAACAGCAGAAACTTCAGAAGGATCATCCCGTGAAAGTCACGTAGCCCTCCAAAGCACAGATATCCAGATGGCGGGACTAGCCATAAATTCTGAGCAACGTGACTCGACAGAGCAAGGACCTGAAAGGTGAGGTGTCATCGGCTTTTCTTTCCATCTCATTGTATCTAAGCAATAAAGTAGGCTTATTTTCATGTCTAATTTTCCAGAAATATTTGTCCTTTTGGTACATTTTGTATGAAATGCTTTATTTGATTTCTAAGCAATTAGAGTTATAATTTTTAATAAAAACGTCAAGTTGCAAAAGCTGTGGGATCCATCCACTGTATTTGATCCAACTAGGGTCATCCTCTATTTCTGAGGTGTATCTGGATGGCTTAGTCTGTGGGATGCCTGAGAAACAGGGTGCCCCTGCTTGAAGATGTGGACTTCTTCCCATCACAGAGGTCACAATGGCAGCAACTGTGTGGAACCCTCTCTGCATAGAAGGACTGTCCACCATTATCAGAGCAGGGAGCTGTTTGTCCAGGTGCTTGTCCTTCAAGTCTGATTTAAATGAATACATTCCACACATCAGAAGGAACAGGGTTAGCTCTAGATTGTGAAGACACCAGGATGTGAGGATCTGTTGAGTGGGATGGATGAACCAGAGCTTTGGAAAAGTAGATGTGACTTGAGGGGACAGAGTCCCTCTGTCTGGGTGAGGCGTGAATATGAGGTCAAGGAGGAGGGAATGAAGATTGCTCCATTTTGAATGGGATGCAACCAAGAATTGTAGCCCTGATGATGTCAAGGATGTGGAAGACTTGGGGAATGACAGGGAAGATAGCAATTTGGTTATGCTTGGTGTGAGGTCACTGCAGGTGACTGCTCACCAGTAAGAAATAGCCAGAATGAGCATTCAGGGAGACGTGCCTCCCATAGCTGTGAGCCTGGAGGAAGAATGGAGAGGCTGGTGGCATGTCCACAACGAGATCTACCAGGTGATGAAGGGAACCAGAAAGGAGATGAGAATTATTCAAGAAGAACCTTTAGTGTATAGTTTTATAAAAAGACAGGTTAATACTTGCTGCCCTGTTATTCTTAGTTGCCCAGAAATATAAAATGTCTAGTGCCAGGCATGAAATCTACCCTAAACAAATGACATTTATCTCAAGGTTTTGTTTTTGTTTGCTTGGTTGAGTCAGGATCTCACCCTGTCGCCCAGGCTGGAGTGCAGTGGCACGATCATGGCTCACTACAACCTCAACTTCCTGGGCTCAGGTGATCCTTCCACCTCAGCCTCCAGAGTGACTCGGACTACAGGCAGGTGCCACCATACCCAGATAATTTGCTATTTTTTGTAGAGTCTCGTTGATTCCTAGACTGGCAATTTCAGTTTTATTTGAGTTTTACATTCTTCTCTTAATTTTTAGATGCTTGGCACCTACATTTGACTGTCCTGAATCAGAAGACAAAAAGTATACAGTGGACATAAGGTAAGATGGAACTGTGAAATCGAATATGTTTAAAAATATGTTTGTTCATTTAGCAGAAGTTTTTTAAGGGCCTGTTATAAGGCTAATTACTCCTATCTGAGTAGTTGTAGCACAGTCAAGTCCAACAAGATCACTGTCTGTTGATGAAGATTTAGACAAATCCCAACAGAATGTGGTGAGTTGGGTCTTGCTGACGCTTATGTGATTTTCTGACATCTTTGGAAGTTTTTAATATTGAAGGTGAATACTCTTCTAAACCAGTGATTTTTTTTTAAGTGTTTCTGTAGGATTCAGAACTGATCCAATTGAATGTTTTTTGCTTTTAAGCTCCATGCCAGATTTCACTTGGAAAAAAATGTTTCTCTGTTGTAGGCAATGAATTTGGGTTTCAATGAAATCTCTAAAACAAACTCTTTACACACACACTCTTTGCAACCGGAGTGTGTCGAATATAAGCTTACAACACAGTAAAGAATCAGCACATACTTTTCAAGCACTTGATATCTAACTGGCACTGTACTGGACAGTGGGATTGTAGGAGTAATAGGTAGAAGCGGTTCCTGCCTTCATGGGATTTTGTGAGGTTGATTGCCACTGTAATCCCAGCACTTTGGGAGGCCGAGGCGAGAGAATTGCCTGAGCCTGAAGGCTCGAGACCAGCCTGGGCAACTTGGTGAGACCTGTCTCTACAATAAATCACAAAAAACTAGCCGGGCTTGGTGGCCTGTGTCTGTAGTTCCAGCTACTTGGAAAACTGAGGCAGAAGGATCGCTTAAGCCCAGCAGGTCGAGGCTGTGGTGGCTGTGAGCGTGCCACTGCACTCCAGCCTGGGCAACAAAAAGTGAGACTCCAACTCAAAAAAAAGAAAGTTATCCAAAAGAGTTGGCCATGATAGACAATGGTGAGAGCTCCAAGTGAGAGAAGCGGAGAAATGGCCCTTGGGTTTTGAGTGAGGGTGAGGCGAGGCTTCTCTAAGCTCACACCTGTGCAGAGGCCTCCAGGAAGAGGCCATGAGGCTGTGTGTTAGGTGGAAGGAAGGGCCTGCGGGAGGATGGTGGTGAAGAGGGGATGCGAGTGTTGAGAACAGACAGAAGGGGTGTCTGTGCCTGCAGTGAGCCAGAGCTCAGCACCAGGGGACAAGGCTGCCTAGGGAAGTGGGGGACACATCAAGTGGCACCTCCTGGGCCACTTGGCTTTTCATTTTCGCTGCAGGCAGAGGTCGGCTATTGGAGAGTTTCGGCAGCAGAGAGACATGATCAGATCCCATTTTCATCCCTCTGGCTGCTGCCTGGGTCGTGGATTGGAGCCAGGCAGGGGAAGTGAGGAATGGGGTGGCAGTTAACAAGGGGAGCATGAACTGGGGTGAAGATATTAAAGGCGGAGAAAAGGAAGCAGCATGAAGGGAGACTAAGGATGGGGTGTGGAGCCCCAGGGAGTTACAACCCCAGCTAGGCTCAGAGCACATGCGCATTTCTCCCTTGGGACTCAGAGGAGTACAACTTGGTGATGCTTTGGAATGTCTTGTCCTTGGGATGGAATCCTTTATCATGGCTTTAGAACAGCCAGGAGGTGACTGTGACTCCCAGGGGTGATCTGTTATGTTGGACTCAAGTGGGAGGCTGAAGGGGTGAGGCCAGGGGCAGGGGAGGGACGACTCTGTGAATTAAGAGTTTCTGCCCAGTGAACTTTTCTTATTCAGAAGGAGAGAATCGGGGTTTTTTATACAGTTCATTTCTCAAGTGACATTAAATGGCAGAAAGGGGGCAAAAATGGAACCTCATAATAACAATGGTGTTTATCTTTAAGGTTTTCCAATGATTTTAAAGAAATAGAACTCATTGGCTCGGGTGGATTTGGCCAAGTTTTCAAAGCAAAACATAAAATTGACGGAGAGACTTACATTATTAAACGAGTTAAATATGACAATGAGTAAGTAATGCATTTTTTGTTTGTTTGTTTGAACTTGAAGTTCTGTTGAACCTGCATGATTCGTTTTCATGTTATCATTTATTCCTTTCTGGTCCCTCTAAATATTCTATTTGCCCAAGAGGAACTTGACTTACTGTGAACCTATCTTACTTTACTGTTGTTATTTCAATAAAAAATGTTTCCACCATTGACCATCCTTTTGAAGCTGTCTTGAAGACTGAAGCTGTAGAGTCACGGTTTAAGGTGACCTTTGAGAGGGTCTAGTCTCACCTCCTTATTTTACAGATGAGGAGACAGATGAGATGTGAGCTGATGTGTCTCAGGTCAAAGCTAGTTGGTAATTGTCCTGGGTTTCTATCAGTGCATAATACTAGGAGGACCCAAAAAATCCCAGAATTCATTTATTAAAAATTGTGTATTTATTTTTACATGTTTAAACTTCAGTCACCTTCAAAGTACTGTCTGTCTGATGCAAAACGCCTATCAAGAGGCTTTTTTCACTGCTCAAAACAGTTTTTGAACTCGTCCATTTTGATGGTTTTTAGTGCTTTTCCTGTTTTTTGTTTCACTTCTTCCATATCAGCAAAACATTTCCCTTTGAGGGCTTCTTTTATCTGGGAAACAAAAAAAAATGTTGCTTGGGGAAATATTGGGTAAATAGGGAGGATGGGGTACAGGGGTCATGCCATATTTGGTCAAAAACTGCTGGACACGGTGTGGTATGAGCAAGTGTGCTCGTAAATCACCCATTATGAAATGGGCAAATACGTTGAAAGAAGGAAGCCTGTACTACAAGGGGCCCGCCCTCCAAAAAGATAATTCCAGGTTTTTTGGGGGTCCTCCCTCATACACTGCTCCAAAATGCAGTGACTTTATAACAGCGATTCAATGTTATCACCCATGACCCTGTGGGTTGACTGTACTCATCTGGGCAGTTCTCACTTGGGACTCCCAGGTGTCTGCAGTCAGGAGTCATCTGAAAGCCTGATGAAGCTGGATGGTCAAGCTGGCTAGCAGTTGCCTCTGGCTGTTGGTGGGAAGTCCAGCTGGGACCCCCAACCGGAGCACTTTCATACAGCTTCTCCATGTGGCCTTGGCTTCTCACAACTTAGCAGCTGGGTTTCAAGAAGGATTGTCCTCACAACCAGTCATCCAAGAGACCAGGAGGGCGTGGTAAGGTTTCCCTTGACCTAGACTGAGAAATTCCAGAACGTCACTTCTACCATGTTATATTGGTTACACAGGTCACCAAAGCCTGCTCAGATGCAAGGAGAGGACAGATAGACTCTACTTCTAGATTTTTTTTTTTTTTTTGGAGTCAGAGTTTCACTCTGTCACCCAGGCTGGAATGCAGTGGCTCGCTCATGGTCGTCACAGCCTCTACCTGCTGAGATCAGGTGATCCTTCCACCTCAGGCGATCCTTCCAAGTAGTTGGAACCAAGGCGTGTGCCACCACACCCGGCTAAATTTTTGATTTATTGTAGAGACAAGATCTTGCCAAGTTGTCCAGGCTGGTCTCGAATCCCTGGACTCAGGCAATCCTCTTGCCTTGGCCTCTCAAAGTGCTGGGATTACAGGCATGAGCCACTGCACCCGGCCCTTCTTGATTTTTTGAGGCATGGATGTGTTAGAAGGGAAGGAACTGAGCATGACCATCTTTTGATACCATCTCCCGTGTAGAAAGTGGAGACTTAGAACCCCTCTGTATTGGGATGCCAACCCATTGTGTTCCCAATATGACCCACTGCTTCCTGAGTTTGTTTATGTGTCATCCATCCCCTCCTTCCCACTGGATGGCAAAAGTCCCTCAGGGAGAGAATCACAGAATGGAGGCCTTCCGTCACAGGCTCACCAGTTCCCCAGTCTTGCTTGCTGTTCTCTGGCCATTGTCAACATGTGTAACTCACCAGATGGGTCCCGCAGGGACTAGAGAAGGAGATGGACTGGGACCTGGGCTAAGGAAGAGAGCAAAGGAGAAGCAGGTGCATCCCAGGCATATACTCCTGCTTCCTGCTCCAGGGACAGTGCCTTGCATGAGAGACCCTCATACTTGTGTGGCATCAACACAGGGCTTTTTCCTTCTTTGTTTTGCCCAACAGGCATGAAGTACTCTTGTTCCCCCTCATTAGATAGCAATTTTAATTTTTTAATTTTTTATTTATCTATTTATTTTTGAGTTGGAGTCTCACTCTGTCGCCCAGACTGGAGTGCAGTGGCCGCTCCCAGCCACCACAGCCTTGACCTGCTGGGCTCCGGCGATCCTTCTGCCTCAGCCTTCCAAGTAGCTGGAACTACAGGCACGTGCTACTACACCTGGCTAATTTTTTTTGATTTATTGTAGAGATGAGGTCTCACCAAGTTGCCCAGGCAGGTCTTGAACCCACGGGCTCAGGCAATCTACTCACCTCAGCCTCCCAAGGCGCGGGATTACAGGCTGAGGCACCGAACCTGACTTAGATAGCAATTTTTAAATGGCGGTAATATGGTACAAAACAGAGCAGCTCCCTTTGTGATCTGTTGAAAGTCTGCCTTTAACACAAGGATTTGTAGAAGAAAGAAAAATAATAATAATATGAATTTTTAAAAATAGTAATAATATCCCAGCTACTTAGGAGACTGAGGCAGGAGGATCACTTGAGCCAGGAGTTTGAAACTAACCTGTGCAACGTAATGAGACCATGCTTCTAAAATTTTTTTTAAAATTCTGCTGGGCATGGTGTGACAGGCCAGCCACTTGGGAGGCTGAGGCAGGAGGATCACTTGAGCTCAGGAGTAGAAGGTTTCAGTAAGCTATGATGGCACCACTGCACTCTAGCCTGGGCAACAGAATGAGATCCTACCGTAAAAAAAAAGAAAAGAAAGTAATGCTGATGAAGGTGCAGTATTTTGGACATTTCTAGTGGCTTTTAAGTTGATACTTAAAACTATATGTTTAAAACTATGCTTGAACATATTAATACGGAGCCATACAAATGTTTATACACTTTGGCTCAAGGATTTCTTATTTGGGAACCTGTTCTTAGAATATTATCCAAATTATGGGTCTGTATACAAGAAGATATAAACCAGAGTGTCATTTTTATAAAATGAAAAAGTAGAACAAACAAAATCACCAGCAGTAAAGCAATGATTAAATATGTATTCTTTTCTTCACTGATCAATGACTATCTTGCAGTCATTGAAAATGAGAGTTCTAAGGAATTTGAGACCAGTCTGGGCAATATAGTGAGACTTTGTTCCTATAAAAAAGAAAAAAAATTACCTGGACATGGTGGTGCACACCTGTAGTTCTAACTACTTGGGATGCTGAGGTGGAAAGATCTCTGGAGCTTAGGAGGTAGATGTTGCTGTAAGCCATGATTGTGCCTCTGCAGTCTAACCTGAGCAACAGAGTGAGACCCCCAACTCAAAAAGACCCCAAAACAAAAACCAAAAAATCCAAAATTGTAAATGATTGTTTTAGGATTGTCAAAGCATCAGTAATTATTTTTATTTTTGCAAATTGTATGTCATATAGTTTAGTCCATTTTAAATTAAAAGTAAAATTGTAAAATGTTTTCTTCTCTCTCCTCTCTGAAATACCAAATTTATTTACTGCTTTTAGCATGGAATTGTCTTAGATCTTGACAACACATTCCTATAAGGCTCCCACTGCATCCATTTCTGGACTTAATTATCCTCTTTGTGTATTTTTGTCTCACATGGAAAATCCTGGAGTCAGTTCTGCCACCTGGGTCACCCAGGCTTGCTGCCTGCGTGGGGTTTGCTTGTGAAATGCAAAAATGTTAACTCAAGTCTAGATAAAACAGAGTGTATCATTGGTGACAGAGTGAAACTCCAACTCAAAAAAAATGACATCGCTGTTGTTTCAAAGACAACTAGGAATTATTTTTATTTTTATTGATTGATTTCTGAACACTCGTTTATGTATTTCTAGGTACTATAATTTAATTCCATCGAGTTTACATATAACCTGCTTTCACTATATCTCACAAATTATTTCTGATGTTTGGAATTGGTCAAGTCGCTGCTTACTCTTATTTTTGGAGAGTGACAACAGTTGTGTGCTCTCTGTGTGTTCCTGTTTGTGTCTCCTAACTGTCATTCTAAAACCCAGGGTGGGATATGCAGCCGTGTCATCAGGATATGCAGATTGCCGTCTCCTGTCATGGGAGGTGTTTTGTAGCTGTTGCCAGGAATGTGCACTGACACTTCCATGTTCCCTGTTCCTCTAACTAGGAAAGTGGAGGATGAGGTGAAGGCACTGGCAAAACTCAATCATGTGAATATTGTTGGCTACAATGCTTGTTGGGAAGGAACTGATTATAATCCTGAGAGCAGTAATAACGATATTGAGAGCAGTGATTTCCAGACTGAGTACAGTGATATCTTTATTGACAACAGCATAAATGAATCAAGGTAAGCATAAAGAAATAAATAATATAAAGGAATTGAATAATATAAATTGGCTAGGCTCAGTGGCTCATCCTGGCATCCCAGCACTTTGGAAGGCCGAGGCAAGTGGATTGCCTGAGCCTGCGGGTTCAAGACCAGCCCGGACAACTTGGCAAGACCTTATGTCTACAATAAATCAAAAAATTAGCTGGGCATGGTAGCATACGCCTGTAGTTCCGGCTACTTGGAAGGATGAAGCTGAAGGATCGCCAGAGCCCAGTAGGGTTGATGCTGGGGTAGCTGTGATTTTGCCACTGCACTCCAGCCTGGGTGACGGAGTGAGATTCCTACACACACACACACACCGTATATATATATATATATATATATATATATATATATATATATATATATTATATTAATTAATATCAAGGCCAACTTAGTTCATAAAAAATATGAAACATGGCTGGGTGCAGTGGCTCACACCTGTCATCCCTTCACTTTGAGAGGCTGAGGCCAGAGGATTGCTTGAGCCCAGGAATTTGAGACCAACATAGGCTATAAAGTAAAGCCTCATCTCTATAAAAATAAAAACAAAATTAGCCGGTCATGATGGTGCATGCCTATAGTCTCAGCTACTCAGGAGGCTGAGGCGAAAGGATAGCCTGAGCCCAAGAGGTCGAGGCTGTGGTGGCCCTGATCATGCCACTGCCCTCTAGCCTGGGTGACAGACTGACTGAAACTCTGACTCAAAAAAAAAAAAAAAAAAGGGCAGGGTCATACTTTATATACAAACTAAACAATTAAACTCTGGATATCTGGGAACTTAGGATTTAAATAAAAAGTACTTTATTACATTTATTATATTGCAAATCAGATTTATTTATTAGACTTAAATTTCTGTTTTGAGACAAGGTTGTGGGTGCTTAAGAAGATAAAGCATAATTTGTTTTTCAAAAATGTATTTTTCAAAAATGTATTTTAATTGTTACTTTTAACACACCAGGAATTTTATGTCCAGATCAACGACTAGGTGCCTTTTCATCCAAATGGAATTCTGTGATGGAGGGACATTGGCTAAAAGGATTGATGACAGAAGAGGAAAGACACCAGACAAGGATTTGGCTTTGGAACTCTTTGAACAGATAACAACAGGAGTGGATTATATCCATTCAAACAACTTAATTCATAGAGATCTTAAGGTAAAAAAAATTATTTTTAAATAATTGCATGGAAAAAAATATTTCAGAGCTAGCTATCAACTTCCAGTTAACTTAGTGTTCTTCTAAGGTGGAGGGGATGTATTTTAAAGAGTTGTCAGAGGCCTGGAGTTTTGACCTGAGTAAGTCCTAGGAGAAATCCTGCACAGGATAACCTACCGTATTGTTGGGAATAGGCCCTCTCAGGGCATCTCAAAATCAGAAGGGACCTTGCAGGTGTCTCCTCCAATCCCCACCAGATCTGGGACTCATGCTTGTAGCATTTTCTCAAGTGGACGTTCCGCCCTGTCTCGGGATGGGCAACTCTCTGACTCCCATTCTATGGACAACACTGCATTACTGGCATATTTGGATTTATTAAAGCAAATCTTTGGGTCCTTTCCACTTGGTGGTCCTGGATCCACCCCTTGGGACCATGGAGACTGAATCTTCAGCCTTTTCACTTGACAACTCTTCAGATATGTGAAAGAGACTATACTCCAAGCCACCTCTGCTGTGCTGTTGGTTAAAAAAATCCTTCCATCTTTTGGCTGGCATTTTAAAGACCCATGATATTAAATTCCCTGGTTTGAGCTGACTACATGAGGGTAAAAGTCTTATAAGGAAATATAAAAATAGCCTTTGCTAAATATGATTTGGTCATTTAATAATAGTATGTCAAATCGGTACATATGCATTAAATATTGTTTTCTTTTATAGCCAAGTAACATATTTTTAGTAGGTGAAACACAAATAAAGATTGGAGACTTTGGACTTGTAGCATACATGAAACATAATGGAAAGCGAACACATAATGCAGGAACGTTGGGATACATGAGCCCAGAACAGGTAAGCTTTCTTTCCTTTCTGTCTTTATATATTTTATTTCTTTTACATTTTTATTGTAAAAATAGTAGGCACTTCTTATAAAATTAAAAACAGTACTGAAGAATATAGAATAAGAGTTGGAAATTCCCTTTAATCTTCTCCCCTCTTGTTCTTCTCATCAGTTGGTTCTTTGTCCTTTTAGTAATTTTCCATGAGTTGTAAAAACATGCACACAAATACCCACACAGACATTCTTTTTTTTTTTGAGTTGGAGTCTCACTCTGTCGCCCAGACTGGAGTGCAGTGGCTACTCCTGGTCATCACAGCCTCGCCTGCTGGGTTCCGGCGATCCTTCGGCCTCAGCCTTCCGAGTAGCTGGAATTACAGGCATGTGCTACCACGCCTGGCTGATTTTTTTTTTTTATTGTAGAGATGAGGTCTCGCTGCCCAGGCAGGTCTCAAACCCACGGGCTCAGGCAATCCGCTCACCTCAACCTCCCAAATGCGCGGGATTACAGGCCGAGCCACCGAGCCCAGCTCACACAGACATTTTTTACACACATGCGTACACTTTTACAAAGAACTACTTTGTGATATAACTCTATATAGTTGTATATGAAGGGACTCAAACAAAACCTGGAATTATTTTTTGGAGAGCAAGCTCCTTGTAATACAGACTTGCCCTGCTAGGTAAATGTTATAGGAACCCATTGGCATCCGTGTACTTGCTAATCTTGTTTCATTTGGCTTCAGTGAATTTTTATGGTGGGAGGAGATTCTTTCACTGCATTTGCCTGTTTCTTGATGGGCAATTGATGAGTATACCTGCCCACACCTCACTGAGTGTTCAAGGAGTTTTTGATCAAAAATGGCATGGCCCTCGTGCCGCAGTCTCCCTGTTCACGCAATGTGGCCCCAAGTGACTTTTTTTTTTTTTTCGTATCCCCGTATATAAAAAATCCTCAAAGGAAAATGTTTTCCCATGAGGAAAAGGTGGAACAAAAAAGCAGAGGAAGCACTAAAAGGGATTAAAATGAACGAATTCAAAAACTGTTTTGAGCGGTGGAAATACGTGTATTCAATCAAATGGAGAATACTTTCGAGGTGATTGAAATTTAAACATGTAAGAATAAATACACAATTTTTTGTAAATAAATTCCATGATTTTGTGGACGCCTCTCCTTGTATAACTATCATCAAATATCTGTAATATTATTTTGGGACTTGAATTTTTAACTCAATAGTATAGCACACTGCTAGGCACGATGGCTCATGCCTGTAATTTCAGCACTTTGGGAGACCAAAGTGGGAGGATTACTTGAGCCCAAGAGTTCAAGACCAGCCTAGGCAACATAGCAAGCCCTTGTCTCTACAAAAAATTTAGCTGAGCATGGTAGCCTGTACCTGTAGTCCCAACTACTCAGGAAGCTTAGGTGGAAGGATTGCCTGAGCCCAGGAGGTCAAGACTGTGGTGAGCTATGATCATGCCACTGCCCTCCAGGGAGACTCTTTTTTTTTTTTTTAGTTGGAGTCTCATTCCATTGCCCAGGCTGGAGTGCAGTAGCATGCTCCCCCCAGGGTCAACCTGCTGGGCTCTGGCGATCCTCCAGCCTCATCCTTCCAAGTAGCCAGAACTACCAGCTTGTGCTAGCACACCCGGCTAATTTTTTTACTTATTGTAGAGATGCGGGCTCCCCATGTTGCCCAGGCTGGTCTTGAACTGGTGGGCTCACACAATTCTCTCGCCTCGGCCTCTCAAAGTGCTGGGATTACAGACTTGAGCCACCGTGCCTGGCGATAGAGGGAGACTTTAACTCAAAAAAGAAAAAAATTTTTCTTGACATTTGTCTTTATAAAGATTGTTTATATTTTTAAAGCTTTTCCTAGAATATGTAGAATATTTTACTATTAAAATGAGATTCCTTATGTCGAATTGGCTGTTAGCGAAGTTACTGATTTAAATAATATATTTCTTTATAATTGTGGTAAAATACACATAACATACAAATTTATCATCTTTACCATTCTTTTTTTTTTTTTTGCGTCTGGGGGGCCAATTGGCATAAAAGTATAATTTGAGATTTTAGTGGAAGTGAATGTAGAACACAGTAGGAGGCTAGTGGTTCCCTCTTAACTCCTGTTTCATTAAATATCTCCTGCACTCTTACTGTCACTTTCACAACCTTTTTAAAAAGCATTCATCCTGTACTTTGTTGTTGTTTTTGTTGCTTTTGTTAGGAGTTTATTACGATGTAAAAGCATTTTGTGGCAGAATAATTTAAACAGCATTAAACCCACAGGTTTTTTTTTTTTTTTTAATTTTGAAGATGTAGGGTACAGTTCAGGGTTAGGTATACAAATGTTCATTATCAGGTACCCTTGAAACCCACAGATCTTTAAGTGAACATTTTTTCATGTTGAGAAATGCACTACCTTTACATATGAAGTTTTCAAACATTTTGTTCACCAAGAAAATCTCCTCAGCCCTTTCCAGTCAGTCCTTCCTCCCCACTGTTCAGAGACAACCAGCACTCTGATGTCTCTTAGTAGCTTAGTGCTTCCTGTTCTTGACCTTCATATGAATGGAACCATATAGTGTGGACTCTTCTGTACTTAATTCCCTCATTCAAAGTCATGTCTGCTGGAGAGCCTTTAGTTGTTGACAAACAGATAAGTAGCCCATTGCATGACTGTACCACAAAATGCCTATCCTTTCTTCTATGGATGGACAGTTGAATTGTTCCTAGTTATGGAATGTGATGAATAAATATGCCATGGACATTTGCATGCGAGTCACCTACTGGGCACTATTTTCATGGCTTCACCTGCTGCATCTCATTTAATCCCACAGTCAGACTCTGAGGTTGGTACTATTGTTATCCCATTTTACAGCTGAGATTATGTGAATGGTTAGTTACACAGATGTTTCAGCTACTCAGTGGTAGACATTTGCACTTGGGCCGTCAGACTCCACAGATCTTGCTAATAAATAGACATTGCTGAGTGATACAGGATGTTTCTGTCAAATGCCTTATTGGCTTTGGAAGTTATTAATATTTATGTAAAGAGAGTAACAAAGGTAAATATATTTTGTCTCCTCAGATTTCTTCCCAAGAATATGGAAAGGAAGTGGACATCTATGCTTTGGGGCTGATTCTTGCTGAACTTCTTCACATACCTGGCACCCATATGGAAAAAGGCAAGGTAAATAATCTCAAAGAAAGAACGAAACAACAAAAATTCTTGGCCATCACCTTCAAAGTTCTGTTGTAGTTATCACCCTCGCGTCAAGATGGGCTTGAATGGATTAGTACCTGACGGCCAATGTCATGTGAATTTTCTCTTTCAGGTTTTGGCAACCATTTTGCTAAAGACCAAAAACTCAGATCTTTCCTAGAAAGTGTGTACACCTCATAAGACTCCTATTTGTATCAGTCAGTCAAATGTTACTGATCTGCTGCTTTGCATAAGACACTGTGCTAAGAGCGACAAGGTTTTCAAAAATGAACAAGGCTGGACATGGTAGCTCGTGCCTGTAATCCCAGCATTTTGGGAGGCCAAGGCAGAAGGATTGCTTGAGCCCAGGATTTGGAGGCTGCAGTGAGCCATGATTGTGTCATCGCACTCCAGCTTGGCTGATAAAAAAGATACCAACTTAAAAAAAAAAAAAAGAACAATCCTTGTTCTCAAGGAACTTACTTTCTAAAAGTGAAGATGATACAGGCCAATGCTGTAAGGGTTTCAGGGGGGGCATAAAGCCTGTGGAAGCAGCTGGGAGGGATGTCTTTCCAGCTGTTGGGATTTAGGTTTTGTGGAGGCAGGAAAGTTGGACTCTGAAGGACTGTTTGGCTTCTAAGAGTCCAAAGCAGAGAAGGCGATTCCAGCATGGAGACAGGGATATGCAGAATGAAATTGAGACCAGCAGGCAGTGTAGCCTTCCTGGAATATGGACATTACAAGGAAGAGATGGCTGGAGGGACTGGAAAGCCAGTTGGGGCTAACTGAAGGACAGAATATGGGTTCCAGCTAGGATGAAGGAGTAATGAAGAGGATGCACTTGACCCTCATGTTGGAAGCAGGAAGCAAGTTAACAAGATGGTGGTTGACTGGGGAAGGGAGTCCTGCTTGCTTCTTGGCTAAAGAGATTTTCTGAAATATCTGGATCTATCCTAGTTCTGGGATGTGCTCAACATTTGTGCTTTCTGTTTATTTTTCCTCCCAAGTAAATAATTTCCTGGCTGAGCATGGTGGCTCACAGCTGTAATACTAGCACTTTGGGAGTTGGGAGGATCCCTTGAAGCCAGAAACTGGAGACCAGCCTGGGCAACATAGCAAGACCCTTTCTCTACAAAAAATAAAACATTTACAAAATAATTTTTTAACAAACATATGTACTTCCCCCCCCCCCCAGCTTTTCAGCGATCTAAGGAATGGCATCTTCTCAGATATATTTGAGACAAAAGAAGTAAGTACTTGATAATACTCAGAATTTTTTTATTTCAGTGTTTTATATTTTAGTATTGACTCTTGCTATATTACAGAAAAGTCTTCTAAAGAAATTACTCTCAATGAAACCCAAGAATCGACCTAACACATCTCAAATACTGAAAACCTTGGATATATGGAAGTTTGGTCCAGAGACAAGGGTGATAATCTCATCTCCCTTCTGATATGTGACTTTTAAAAAATTACCTAAAATATGCTAGAGAACATCAATAAATATTTACCTTTTTCAAAAACTTTTCCTCTTAATTTTTTACTACATTTTCAGGAAGGTTTTTATCTTTTTACTTCAAAAACATTCCTACATTCGACTTTTGCCTAGGTCATTTCTTCATTCTGAAGATAGGAAACAGCTCTCAAATTTTCTTCTTCATACTATTAATGAATCAATCAATTTGTCCATATTTGGTAAATGTCTACTGTTTCTAAGACAAAAGCTATAAGCTCCTTTTCAGCCTTAAATAGTTTACAAGCCAGTGGAGAAATACAATGATCATCAAAAGATAAATTACATACAACCACTTTGGCAAACAATTCGGCAGTATCTAGCAAAGTTGAAACCATGAATGCCTGCAAAGCCGTCAATTCCATTCTGACACACATGCCTACAAGAATGTTCATAGAACCCCTGTTGATAATAGACAAAAGAACAGAAAACAACCAGGATGTGCATCCAAAGGAGAATGGATTAAAAAATGATATTCACCCATTGGAGTACTATATAACACTGAAAAGGAATGAATTACATCTAAATGTAGCATGACACAATACATCTGTCAGGAAAGTAATGGTAAGCTAACAAAACAGATTTCAGAAAATATACACAAAACAAATCCATTGCTATAAATTTCCAGAACACGCAGAACTAAATTTTGCTTAAGAATTCAAACAAATGTGGTAAGACAATAAAATAAAAGAATGAGCAACGTTAACCTTTTGCACTTAGAAACATCTCAGGGATCACCTACCAGCAACTTGACTGCACTTTTTTGCAAAATAGTGAAAAATGAATAACTTCATATTAAATAGTATAGTGTTGGAACTAATTATTTTATTGTAATGATATTTGGCTTATAGTGGTATGTTGGACATCGAGGAATTTATGACAAAAATATCACAATTTCATATCTATTTTTCTAACTTGGTAATGTGTGATACAGTCACCAACATGCATCGCAGGTTCATGGATACATGTTGTGTAATAGCAATTTATTTGACGTCTTCCAACTAGTATTTTTCTATTTGAGCAGACGATGTAGTCTTGTTTTCTTCCTCCCACATTAATAATATGTAATATACTCTCCAGTGTGTTGTTTGAAGTTGATGCGGAAGGATGCACTTGTGATTCCTGAAAAAACAATTCTCAAATGATTGATCAGGAACTTGACACATTTCAAAAAGGGCGTAGATTTTTCTTTTCTTTTTTGATCCTCAGTACAGTACACAGGAGTTAATAGCACATATTTCTAGTCCCCAGAAGAATAATTTCCTCTACCATTTTAACGAGTTTTGTACAAAAAAATATGTGGGAGCACATTCATCCACACCATGCATATTCACAGTATAATTTAGAATCATTCAGACTTTTTAACTGATATAATATTTCCACCATGCAACACCCTTGTGGTAGATTTCATTCCTGCATGATTCCAAGTGCTGAGAATTGTAACAATCCTTTAGTCTTTCCGTACATGAAGTATAAGATTATTTTTTCCTATGCGCTGCTGTTTATTTCATTAAAAACTTTGACTTTTTAATTTTTGTTTGTAATCCCTTTTGGTTGACTTTGTTCCTGTAAGATGGCATTTCATCTTTAGTATGTCTTCAGCTAGGACAATACTAGTGTGATATGTCAGTCAACATGTGGTATCTGTTATGGGGAGAAGGAACGCAGCTCTTAGTGTGAGATGATGGGTTGTTGTTGATGACCGGGTTCTTGTGTTCAAGTATGGAAAGAATTCACAAGTAGACACACAAAACAGCATGACCAACAAGTCGCTTTATAAAGCAAAGAAGAGTTCACTCTTCAGAGGGGAGAGTGGGCAAAAACAGCCTGCAGAAACTGCTGCTTCTGTGCCTAACTATTGTCGAGTTATAACTTTTATTCTTAGGGGTACTGAGGGGTGTGCTCTGCGGTGGTCCTTTCCTAGAAATAGGTGGTCTTTTGGGCTGAGTTACTATTACTCAGCCCTCACGTCGGGTGAGGGAGCTTTAGGCCTTACAGGGTCATTCAGGTACTGTTTTGATGGGAGTAGGAGGCTTCCCTAGGATAATATTATGTTAATAATATTATAATGAAGGTGAAAGTGGGTCATGATTATTTTGGATTGACCTTGGTTATTGACGCTCACATGCTCCAGATGGTTTCTACTGTGTTGTAGGTGTATCTGATAAGAGTCTAGCAGTTAGGTAGGTGTGACATTCTCTATAGTTAGGCTGTCTTGCTCGCAGGCATGGTTTTGCACTAGCTGCTGCAGACATCAATGGACTTGGAACTTTCCTACAGCCTTAAAGTTTTCCTAGCCCATCCTGCCTACACGACCAGTATCCTGCAGCATTGGGAACTTTTCCCAAGAACTTTTTATATAAATGTAATGGAATTCTAGTGCATACTGGAAGATCAGGTTGAATGATGTGTTCGGATATTATGCTGCCGTAGTAGGGAAGTGTTGAAAAAAGATACCTGGTTTTTGAATCGGGTAGTGCATAAATGCCTATACCCCATTTCGTAGGCTTATTTGGACTATATGTTATAAATGGTATTCACCTCTTACATGGAACGATGGATGTGTCAACACACATTGTCTGATCTGTTATGAAATAGTGTAAAAATCTTGAATCGATATAGTCCAAGTAATTATTGGCCTTTTGAATATGAGTTCTGATTGTCCCATCACTCGACGCAGTTGCCTTCAAATGAAGCTTCAAGGAGATTTGCATAAACCTTTCTCTACCAAAAAGAAGTGTCTTTTACTAATGAATGCAGTTAACCAGTACTCTTGTAAATTTGGTACTTGAATTGGTCCCATATTTAGGATAACTGCAATAAAAGCTAAAAATTCCTATCTGTCGATATCTTGCCATTTATGCCAAATCGCTTTGTGTGATAGCTGCTTTTTCCTTATTTTTTCATCTGCATAACTGTTTGTTTCTTTTAATATACTATCCACTACTTCATCTGTAAAATACAGAGTAGTCAGTGGGTTCTCTTACATGGCTTGCTACATGTGGTCCTGTTGTTTAAGGATGTATTCTTGCTGGAGAATGATCTTGTTCTGAAACACCTTCCCGTTCTTGATGATACATTGTCTTTACTTCTTTGAAACTATAATGCTAACACTTTCATCACTATTAAATTCTGTTACATTTGCCCATTTTCTTCTTGGAGGATGATATCATTATCACTAATATTGTCTTCTTTACATAAATGTCGATTTTCCTCTGTATAAAAGTCTAAATCTCACTCATGCCACTTCTATCAAAACTCTCACTTTCATCTTTTTGTTTTGCCATTGTTCTGCAAACTAAATAAGTGGACACGAAATTTATCACTGTAAATTACAAAATCATGAAATCCAGCTGGTAATTTTTTTATGTATATCTCAGTATACATTCCATCTCTTTATCTGCTTTTTCATGAATGGAAAACTTCAAGGAAACACGCATCTTTGAAAACTTTGCCCTTGCATAAATTTGTCCTATATAATCAGTAGCAATCTCATTATGTCCCCTGAAAGGGACATCCCGAGTGGTTTGCTAGATTCACAATGTCCCCTCAGAGGACCCATCTGCGTGCAAAGGGTCAAATTTTGGAGAGTGGTGATCTCTGAAGGAGGGAGGGAAATGATGAGTGGAATGAGTCGAGAGGAGACCACCCAGGCAGTCTGGGCAAGGGGCATGGCATGAGTTCTAGAAAAGAGAGTATACTGAGATATAGGTTAAAAAGTTACCAGCTAGATTTCATGATTTCGTAATTTACAGTGATAAATTTCATGTCCACTTTAGTTTGCAGAACAATGCAGAACAATATTGGATATGCTAGTTTGTTGCCCTGAATTACTATGGGGAATGGCTGAAGATAATTTGGATTGCATCTTAGAAGACCCTGAGGGTCAATTTCAACTTTCAAGCTACTGTCTTAGTTTGGTTTGTGTTGCTGTAAATGAATACCTGAGACTAGATAATTTATAAAGAAAGGAGGTTTATTTGGCTCACAGCTCTGCCAGCTGTACAAGAAACATCATGCCTGCATTTGCTTCTGCTGAGGGCCTCAGGCTGCTTCCACTCATGGTGGAAGGTGAAAGGGAGTCAGATTGTGCAGAGATCACATGGGAAGAGAGGAAGCAAGAGACAGAGGGGAGGTGCCAGAGCCTTTAACATCCAGCTCTCGAGGGAACTAATAGACCAATAACTCACTTCCTCTCCCTGTCCTCCTACACAGGACGAGCATCAATCTATTAATGGGGGATCTGCCCCATGACCCAAACTCCTCTGTTAGGCCCTACCTCCAACTTTGGGGATCAAATTTCAACATGAGGTTTAGGGATACAAACATCCAAACTGTAGCAGCAACCAACTCTCATTCTAAAACTGCCATGTGATTTGAAGATTTTAAAAACCAGCCGAATTCAGGCTAAGCAGAAATGGGAAAACTCACAGCAAAAGAAAATACAGAGATTTAGAGCTCTACTTTTTCAAGTGTTTATAAAAACAGTTAATATGCTGTATATTTCTAACAGGCTCCCAGGTTAGGCTGATGCTCCTGTTCCATAACCCACACTTTGAGTAACCAGGCTCTACAGCAGTGTTAATGAAACTCTATGCTGGTGGAAATATTCTGCTCTGTCAAATAAGATAGCAACTAGTAGCTATTAAGCTATTGTCCAGTGTGGTTACCAGATGTAGCTATTGAACTCCTGAAATGTGGCTAGTGCCAAATGAAGGAGGGGGATTTCCTCAAACTCCTGGCACAGGAATCCACTGAGGTGGCACCCACCTTGGCTTCCAAATGGAACAGCACATCTAAAAAGGAAGAGTGATGGCGTCCACATCATAAATCTGAAGAGGCCCTGGCAGAAGCCTCTGCTGGCAGCTCGTGCCATTGTTGTCATTGAACAACCTGCTGAGGTCAGTGCCATGTCCTCCAGGAATACTGGCAGTGGCTGAT